TCTTGACGCAGTTCCTGAAATTGGCTCTGTTTCGTTTTCATTTGGCCAAATAGTTTTTAGTTTTTATTTGGATCATTATTTATTACTAGGTATTGCTGGTGTAAATCAATGTTAGGTTAAAAAAAATGTCGGTAATGTTATGGGTCTGTAGAAATTTTTTATTTCAGGTAGGTTGAACGATGTTTTTGTACATGTAAAGTTCAGTCAACAAGCTACGCAGCGGGAAGCACAACATTCTCGCATAAAAATACTTCCCTTAAACGTGTAGAAAATTACGAAGTAATTTAAATGTTAATTGAAAAGTTTACAATTAGTTGCGCTATTTTTCTCGTTAACATTTCAAATTACAGACTAACCGGTTAAATAATTTATTAGTTCTGCTACCCGCTGTGGATATTTCACCTTCGTTTTATCTTTAATTAATTCCGAATTAGGATAAAATACAGCACTAGACGTCGACAGGCGAAAAATAGAAACAAGTGGAGTCGTCGATATTAATTACTTCGCGGATTCGACTTTAAGAAAGGAATTAGTACTGCTCGGACAATGCCTAGACTTAAGAGAATCTCCTGCTAATTTAAAAGAAAAACAAACAAATCTTGCAGGGAATGCGGAATGAATTTTCCGCAAAGGTGAAATATTGAAGCGATCCTTAAAGGTAACAAAAATGTCCTCCGAGGCATTCGTAATCGCGTTTTTAATGTTGAGAGAGATATTATTCACTGGGAGCGTGTGATTTTCTTTAAATGATGCTGATGGTATTTTTACGCCTTGGAAGGGATTTGAAATGTAAATCTCCCGGTGATAATTTTATGTTATTTGCATATTCTGGTTCTGATGCAATTCTCCAAGATCCAGGAATTGTCTGCGATTCTGTTTTAATTTCAGATTTAAAATATAATATGCGGAGTAGCACATTAAGTGAAAATTTAAAATTAAATTGCCGCACAATTTCAGATGCAAGCGTTTTTAAGAAAACATTTTCATCTTTCGGAGACGTCTCGAAGAACCTGAGAGACCAAATCGGAAATAATAAATTAATATGGAAGGTATTTGATTACCAATTATTATTTGTAGTAACTAAATTCAATTTCAAATTTCAAAAAAACTTCACATTCATCACTTTTTGACGGTCATTTTCGCTTACTGTTCTTCGCCTTCCTGATCCAGGTAAATCTTCCGGTTTCTTCAAACTTTTTGGTTACTTATACTTATAAAATTTTAATTCTCTGTGTTTCGCTTAAACCATTTTCAAAATTAACAACGAATTAATTGGAACTAAAACAATTCACGTTATATCCATAGAAAATATAGTACTAACGTAGAATGAAATGTCCCTAATATTGCCAATAAACCGCGAAACAGCGCCACGTAATGTTTTGGAAGCTTACTACTACTTAGCTCCTAATGAGTAGGCAACACTTTATACTTTGTGAACTGATTACAGCGCCATCTATCGTATGCAAACGACTTCTCACTTATATCCTCTATATATTATTTTAAAAATTTTAAAAGTAAACCCTTATACAAATAGGAATAGTCAAGTGTCAATACTTTTGAGAACAGATTATTTAGTTAAACAGAAAATGTAGCGAAAAACTAATATTCAGTACTTTTCTAATTCACTTCTGCTTTGATAACGAAAGTAGAGGTTTCAGAAACGTCATAGTGTTATTGTGATGTGTATTTGTTTTTCCGGTGCGTAACCAGACTTATACATGTAGATGTATGTCTCTAGCATCTCACTATTAGGCAAAAGTTTTCAGTATTGAGTTGATAGTTTTTTTTTTCTTCAAACTATGGCAAAATATCCAAATTATAACTAACATTCTTAATGCCACAAATAAATACAGACAGTTTCTTCTTACTTATTATTTTATTATATTATAGTATTTTTCAAATTTTGACATTTGCCAAGATACTTAGTAAATGGTTTTGATAAGGAAATAAAACATTTTTTAATAATTTTAAGTTTATTTTGTATCTACAAGAAATCCTAATTGATTTATACAGAATGTNTTTATATGCAAATATATTTTCATTTTGTGCAGCTCGGGAAAGTAGCCAGCTTTGTAGAAAAAAAAATTAAGATATCTTTTATTAACCTAGATATTGGACTTCGCGCACTAGGTGGACACGGTGTATAATACAAAAAAAGATACACTAGTACCTTACCATCTTATTCCTTGCTCGTAGAAGTGCATTCTCAGATAAAGCGACGCTCTTATATAGGGTGTCCCAAAAGTAACACAGGAGTTGAATTGTGCGCCATTTTCGTTCCGAAGAGTTGGCAGTATTGTGCAGGATCACATGTTGTAGAAAATACCTTGCAATTAGACTAATTGTAAATGAAGCGCTATATGACAGATGAGCGAGTGAAGATTGTGAAAATTCGTTACAAGTACGAAGAGTGTGTAGCTGATATTGTGCGCAAATTACTGAAATTTTCGGTAGAAGGAACGACCTGAACAACTGTGGAAAGATTAGTTGCCAAATTTAAACAATTGCAGGCAATAAAAAAACAAGCAGGCCTCGTACTGATTGATGGGATGATTGGTCCGTTCTTGTGGCACTCCCTTTATAAATAAAGTTAACTTTAAAATGAAAATTTAAATATGTATCTTTAAATATTACTATACAGGGTGTCCCGGTACTTGATACAAAAAAGTCGCGTACAAATAGATGAGGTCAAAATAATATCAGTTCTTCATATTTTTTTTTTTTTCATACGGGCCTTTGTTAACAAGTTACAGTCCCTCAAAGATGAAAATTAAAAATTTATTTTTATTTACAATCTCTAAACTATTAACTTCAGCATGATGCAAATTTGGTGATCGATAACACATTCGTACAGCTTCATTATGCCCAGAACGCCAGGGACAGACTGTGCCCAATCCAGAATTTTCCCTGAAGGATTTGCCAACGATAATGCCCTCTTCGTTCAACTCGGTAAAATTAACAGTTTAGGAAATATTTGTGATTTTATGCCACACTGCACACCGACTGGCGCCTCCGCCATTAGGCATAGTCCGTCCCTGGCGTTCTAGGCATAATTCAGTTTCACTTGCATCAAAAACAAGCTGTGCGCATGTGTTATCGATCACCAAATTTGCATCATGATGAAGTTAACAGTTTAGACTGTAAATAAAAATAACTTTTTAATTTTCACCTTTGAGGGCCCGTAACTTGTTAACGAAGGCCCGTATGAAAAAAAAACAAGTATCAAGTACCGGGGCACCCTGTATAATTCTTTGAATATGATAACAGCATCATGAAANAATTTCTATTTACTAATTGACCTGTTCCAGCGATTTTATATTATTTTTAACAATCCACGTCAACTATAAAATATATAACTAAACGCAGCTCTGCTATGAAAAATTCAGTCGATGCTGAGCCTGAATATTCAAATGGGAAATACTCCCAGTTAGGTATTAAATTATTAACCCGTTTTTTACTACAGCTGCAAATGTTACAAGCGTCGCGTCGGCCGCTAAATTTGTATTTTTATTTATTCCCCGATTAATATTTAACAGTAAAATGGTTTATTCACTTTACACAATATGTTCCATTTCGCAACAGAGGAGAATTATTTTTATGAATAATGAAAAATTGAAAAAAGTGCAACGAGCAAACTAAACACGATTTCTCTAAAATATACGGCCTTCGATTTAGAATTTACAGAAAAAATAAACACAAACGGATCCATCGATTTTGTTTTATTATGAAAAAAATTTGATTTCTACAGGGCTACAATTTTTTAATTGTCCAATACAGATATATTTCTTATATTAAGAGATGCAGAAATGGTTAAATGAGCAAAAATATACAGAATTTTATGCTGATCACGAATAGTTCCAAACCGAGTTTATGCTATTTTTTTGGTCGTATTTCAATTGTTTTTCAAAATTTTAGCACAAAAATGTATGTATCTCTTGAAATAAGAAAGATACCTGTATTGGACAATTAAAAAATGTAGCCCTCTATATACGACTGTAACAGATATTTGGATATTTCTACTTAGTAGCAGTAAAAAAAATATTGTTTTATTATGTTTATTTCCTAAGTAGTTTTATTTGCTTTATTTATTTTAATTAGGTGTAATAAACACAATTTATTTACGTAAAATCTTTACAAATCAACGAAATTTGTGCCAGAGTTTATTTATTTGTTGTATCTATTTTAACGGTTTAAATGTTTATTGATTTTACCAACCTCAAGACTTAATTAAATTCGCATTGCAAATTCATAAACAGTCTGAAATAGCTCTGGACTGTCTAAAAATACAACTGAAAAGTCAACTCGCCCCGAACCATGTTGGGATATGTGCTCCAAGTTCCTAGTTGAATTTAATTGAAGTCACAGTGTGTCCCGCGATTGTATCCTGAAGATGAAAAACTTTTTTATTTGTAAATTTATGAGTAAAATGCAATTCTTTATATATCCAAACATTTTTTACTACACGTCTCCCTCCCTTCCACTTCACAGTCTTAATAAAAATGGATCGAAATAAGTCTCTGTTCTTTAACTGAAACAAGGGCATGGGTGTTTTTGGGGTGATCCGAATATTTCAACTTGCACCAGTGGCGTTCGTGCGAGAATGTCACATCCTTTTTTAATAAAAATAAATGGTACGCCACTGACTATTTCCCGTTTTGATATTTTTTTAAAATCCGCCATCAATTCTGAATGAAATTAGTCTTCAATTTTTTTCACAGTTTTAGAGGAAAAAAATAAAACATTTTATTGTAGGTTTTCTTAATTTTTTATTTAAGAGTCTCTTAATAAACCGTGGTCAAAGTAAAAATTCATTGAAAATTAAAAGTTGAAATGAATATGGGTAAAAAATTCTTCGATTTCGAAATACAGGATGTTCAAAACTTTTTGAAATAATTAATAAAAATAAATAAAATATTAAATTTTAAACACCCTGTATCTCGGAAACGAAGCGTATTTCGACCTACGTTTATATGAACTTTTTTTTCACAAAATAACTTCGGCAACCACCCCCTAAAATATTCCGCATTTATTCACAAACAGGTACATATAGACAAAATATACATAGGAATAACGAAACTATACAGTTATTTGTATTAAACATTACACAAATATTTACGTATGTGTGTCCCATTTAAAATGTAAAATTAACATAAAATCTATACGATAATTATAAAAAATTAAAACAAAACAGACACTAAAGAGGTATTGCCTTTAATTTGCTAAGCTGGCATTCGTACTAGGGTTATCAGGATTAAAGCCATTGCCGATACAGAGGAAGATGTCTTCCAGCATACCAACTGCAGTTTGAGTAATTCCTCGCAATCCCTGTAATCCACAACTGTCTATTGACATTACAGTACGCAGAGCAATGGACTGTATTTTCGCTGCTAGTGCAAATACCTTAGGAGGAACCTAGAAGATAAATGTTTATAACAAATTGAGCGTAAGAAATAAATATTAAACATTTATTTTCATTTTTGTATACTACAACTATATAAAAACATATTTCATAACGATTGAATTTGTAGTTGCGAAATAGTGTATTTTGGAGTGAAAACAATACACTTGACTTCTTCAGATTAGGGCATAATATAACAATATTGATACGAAAAAAATAATTTCCAATAAATAAATAAAGTACCGTATTAAATTAAGTAAAGCCACATCGTATGTAAACCAAATACAAAATAGAGGCACACATTTTTAAAAATAATTAGAAAAATAAAAATACTTTATATTGTGCAGAAAAAAATGTGCTAAAGAAAAGATACTACCTGAATAGCTTGAGAAATAGCATCCCCAACGATATCCCATCTGCAGCTATTGGACAGTCCACACCGTTGGACATCCCTCCCAATAACTTGAGGTATAGTCATGAAAGTCTGAGCTTCATTTAAGCTGTCACTAATGACATTCACCATTTCGGCCAGCGCGACAGTTGCGCACTTCTTAACCTGTTCGTTGACTTGGTCAGCTAAAAGATCTAACTGGCCTTCTTCTAAAAGACATTTTACAACAATATTTTTTTCACTCGCAAAAGCACGACTTCTACTTTGCACGCGGCTTACGCTTGATTTGAAAGTGGAGACCTTCTGCGAAATGCTAGTGCGGTATTCCTCAAGGACCTAATAAGTTAAGTTTCTTGCATATAAATCGTAGGTGGCCATGTTTGCAACTATCGAGGCCATTGAGGAGTTTATCTGTTGTTGGAGTTGCGTGCTGGCAATGTTGTCTTGAAGTGCGTTTGCGTAAGGTGCGACGAGGGATTCTTCCAGACTGATTGCATGCAGCTAGAGATGTTAAATGTGAAAAAATTTTTTAAAGCTCTAGGTATGTTCTTTGAAGGTGGGGCAAATGATATGTCAGTTTTTTAAGTTGTATGTTTTTAGTACGACATAGAACTCAAAAAGTTCTTAATTTTTTGTATTGTATTTTTTTCAATAACATTTCTTTAAAAATTCAGAAACAATCACAACGAAAAAAAAACAATGAAAATAAAAAACTATTTTTTAAATTTAAAACTACTCTTTTGGGATTTTTTTTTAAGGATATTTGAAACATTTTCTTGGCTTGCAGCAGTCTAGGCTTAAGTCATCTGATAACACAACCAAACCTACAATCGCGATGGTATTGCAGCAATATTTGAATTTGTCAACACATTTTAAAAAACAAATTTAAATTAAAATTACTGATAAACATCATTAATTACAATTCCTTGAATTATATCTAAATCATAGTAATATTTCTGGTATTTTTTACTTTTAAATTAAAAAGTCTTACACTGATATCAAAAGAAAAATTTATATTATATAGGGTGTTCCGCTAAGGTCGGCCAGGTACGATATTAGAGAAAGTATAGGCCCTAGAACTCCGGAAAATTTTTTTGAATAAATCGATCGAGAGAAATCGCTGGAAACAGTTTTCTAGTTCGTAGCTCGACCGATAGGGAGCGCAATCTTCATACCAAAACAAAGAGTTGTATTTTTCTCAGAAATGTTTCCTATTCAGGTATATTAAATAGTACAAATATGGATAGCTGGATTCATTGCGCATAACTTTTGTCATTTTGACATTTTGTTCTACCTCGACAGAAAGAGTGGGGGAAGCCCCTAATATCTGATCAGAAAAATGATTTTTTTTTAAGGATTGGCTCATCAAAAGCCCGTAGTGTTATACCTCGTTGGAAAGGTCTTTTCATGCTTTATCTCGTGGTGATTGCGTAATGTCATTTACCTCAATATGGAAACCTATAGATGGCGTCCTATTTCCGTCCGGCTATCTTATTTAATATACCTGAATAGAAAATATTTCTACCCTATGTTTTGGTATGTAAATTGCGCCCACTAGCGGCCGAGCTACGAACTTGAAAACTATTTCCAACGATTTCTCTTGGTCGATTTATTCATCAAATTTTATTTTCCAAAGTTCTAGAGCCTATACTTCCTCTAATATCTTACCTCGCTGACCTTAGTGGGTCACCCTGTATATACCTACAAATCAAAATAAATATTACATATACGTAATCGCTTTATTAAATGGATATGTTTATATACATAATATATAACAATAAAAAAATTTGAAGTGGCGATATAAAACTAAATTTACTTACCTGTGAAATTGTAATTACAATTACAATGAAGAGAAGTTTCATTTTGCTTTTCTGAGTATGTATTCCCACTGCACAGTTTATATGTACTTTGTAATTAATAAATATAATATTTAAATAAAGGAAGTGGGTAATCTAATGAAAATCTTCTCTCATGTAAACACAGTTTAACGTTAAGAAATAATTTCATCTCATTTTATAACAGTTAGCGCAAAAGTGGGATAGATAACATTTATTATATTTGCAAATAATTAATATTTTATTACGTGAAGTGAAAATATTCATTTTACGAAAATATCGTAAACGTTGCAACACCCAGTATTATTATCTCTAGTAAATATGTGGTTCTAGAAGCTTCCTGTTTAGATATTGCAATGATATAAAACTATTTTTCCAGACCTTCCACATTTGATTTTAATTCAGGCAATTATTAAATCTAGAATAAAGTTAATCTTTTGCACCTCTATTTATTTTAAGTTGAAGTGCAATATTTATTTTATTTATTTCCGAACTATTGTGCTTGCTGCTGTTGACAGACCCTGTATACATTACAAACTTATTAAAAAAGTGAAACACTTCGCTTTCGAGATGCATGAGAAAGTAGAAATGTCTTATTTCCATGAGAATAATCAGTTTCCACAAAAAGTAACAATTTTGAACCTATACATACACCGTGTCCACCTAGTGTACGTAAGTCTAATATCTAGTTTAATAAAAGATATAACTTAATTTTTTTTTCTACGGAGTTGACTACTTTCCCGAGCTGTACAAAATGAAAATATATTTGCATATACAGGGTGTTCAGTTTTTCCTGAACCTATATGGCATTATCGAATTCTACGTGAAAAATTAACAGGACTTTGTGTTATGATCCCTATTAAAATATTGATAGTTTTCGAGATAATCGACTTTTCATTTTTTTTCTTATGTTTCGTCACTTCTAGTAGTTGACATAATTATGATTGTATGACAGCTAGAAATTATTTTTTTTTTCAGGAACT